CCCCCCCCCCCCCCCCCCCCACACACACACACACACACCGCCACGAGTGGCCCCCCTGTGAAGGTTGCGCTTGAAATTGTCTTGTGAACAAGGGCACAACCCGACTCCGTCCCGGATTCCGCTTGACTGGCCGATGTGTATGTGACTGGCGACGGTCTTGACCGGGCTCTCGTGAGTGTTCTTTGTTGGTTGGCATTCCTTTCCTTATCAATAACAGACAAACTATCGTGTATGTGCCCATGAGCACAGACAGACAAAGACACGAGTATCTCTTGGGGATCCAATTGATCAATTACTCATCCACCTCGTCGTCCATGGCCTCTTCAGACTCTACATGCTCCTCATCCACATCTTCTTGCACGCCCTCTTCTTCCTCATCGACCTCTTCACCTTGATCGTCGTTCTCAAGTGCAGTGTCAGCGTCTGATTCCATATTCTCGTCGTGGGCCGCCTCATCGGAATTGTGAGGAGCCTCGCCTTGCTCCGCAGCCTCGTTGACCTCAACGTCAAACTCCTTGGCCAGCTGAATCTGCACGTCACCCTCAAATCGCTTCACGAGACTGACCAGGATGGTCTGCTGAAGCTTCTCATCGAAGGATTCAGTCGAGACCAGATATGTCTGCAACAGCTGCTTGCACTGGTGGGCGTAGTCCGGGTTGTCCTCGTGGCGCGGCGTTTCGCCCTCCTGCGCCATCTTCAGAATCATGTTGAGCGAATCAGCAATCTGCTCAAGTTGGGGCAACCGCGCAAACACGTCGGCGCTCAACTGGTGTAGCTTCCAGTGCCGACGGGCTTGGCGATATAAGAGCTTGTCAAAGACCTCTGGCAGGCGTTTGACGGTTCGTTCCCAGTTCTGCAAAAGGGTGTTGCACATAAACCCTGCCGCAGCATAGTTGAGCGCCACCGGGAATTGCGTCTGGTGCATGAGGAACCAATGGTAAATGTACAGTGGTCGTGTCAGGTCACCCTCGGACATGGCCAGGCATGCCACTCGCTGCAGGATGAGTTGCAGACTAAAGTTGCCCTGAGAAAAACAAAAGGTGCAGGAGTGCCCACGACCACGAAATACACCGTCAGACTCAGAGTCAAAGAGCCACGTCGCGCCGAAAAATGAGGCACATTCAAAGGTGACGACACGTACATCCACGGCGTGGCGGAGCGCTTTGGGGTTGTCAGTTCCGCGGTGGTCTGCAGGTGAATCAATGATTTCCTTCCGATGAGCAATGGCGTCTTCTGCAAGCATGTTGGCAATGGCGGCCACGTGATCCTATGTGACATTCAAGCGTGGGTGGATGATGAGGTATGTAATGTCAATCGATCCGGGGCTTCTCCCACCCCGCCTTCTTTTTTGGCCCTGCCCGCCGCTCTTCTTCTTCATTTTTTATCAACATGTTCTGCTCCGATCAGCCAACACTGACCTGCACGATGGAGCGAGTCAACTCGGGTACCACGTGTTTGGTCCGAGACAATACCGCGCGCAGGTTGTTGGAACAATGCAGCAACTGTCATGGACATGGCCACATGCATGCCACAGCATCCAGAAGTGCGTGAGACAGAATTGCAATGCACTCTGAGACTTCAAGCAGCCGTCCATTGCGCGGCAAAGCTCACCTGCAGAAGAATGCGAAGCTGTTCGTCATGGCGCGGAAGCTTGCAAGCAGTGATATTAGACTCCAATCGAGAGACGGCGATTTGGGCAAACGTCCATGCCAGGTGTGGGTGCAAGAGCATGAGGCCCACATCCAAAAGGGCCGTGGGCTCTTGAGCCAGGCTCGTCAGCGCTGCTTCAAGGTCTGTGTACATTTGGTCGGAGATGGCAGCGTCCTGGCATACCATGGTCAGGAGGGTCGCAAAACGACTGCAAGGGTCCTTGCTGGCAATGGCATCGGCCCCGGCACGGGTCAAGCCGTGGGATAGGCGTAGGCGTAGGCAGCCATAAGCCGGCTCGCCGTGCTTGACAAATTGGCTGCGTAGCTCAACCAAAAGGGCTTCATACAACTTCATCTTGCTCCCAACGAGCTGCAGGAGCTCGGAAATCTCCGACGTGGCCTCCTCATCCAGGTCTGCGAAGGGATTGTCAAAGAGGCGATCGAAGAGCACGGGCAGCAGGCAGCGCTGGTTTAATCGCAAGGCAGCTTGGCGCAAGAACGGCCCAGCCACTGCCGTGAAGGCACCGGGTTTGGCCACCCACAGCTGCTGCTTCACATTGAGGTTGCACTGTTCCAAGAGGGTGGGGTGATTTTGCAGCTCTTCCAAATAACTGGGCTCGAGCTCGGCATTTTGGTTGAGGAGCTGGACCACGAGTGGTTGGATCTCCTCTGTAAGGGCAAAAGGCCAGCACAACTTGAGCGTATCCGTCAGCTGCTTGGTCGACATGGACGGGATGCGGGAGGCAAACAGCTCTTTGGCATGCGCCAGCACTGCTCGGTTCATCTGGTTTGTGACCCCGTGACGCATCGGATGAGCATGGCGCAAGGTACACACTTGGCCAAGAGGGCGCGCTGTGTTGGTCGGTCGCAAATCTAACCTCTGCGCGTGGGATGTTGAGCAGCCGCAGCATGGGCCAGGCAGGTTCTAGTAACGGCACCGTATGATGCTGTCCCAATGTTATGTGATGTTGGGGTGCGGTCAAAGGAGCGGACGCATGAGATCATGGAAGACAAATTAGATCCAACACCCAGGACGGGGGGGGGGAGGTGGGTGATCAGTGACAGCAATAAGGTACGACGCTCAAGTGCAAGTGCACGGGAGGAAAGGCTTGCATGCATGGGCGAATGCGTGCACCTGTTGGAAGTCACGGATTTCTCGGCGCGAGCGAAGCTTGGCGATGCGCTCCTTGACCGTGCGCCGGTCGAAGGGCAACTGATAGCCCGATCGATCCGCAAGGCGCACGCGGCCCGACGGGCCCGCAGAGGCGGCGTGCGCAGCATCACGCCGTTGCTCCATCTCTACGAATGTCAAGTTCACAAATTTTTGCAAGCTCAACCACCGTACCAAGGTCTCCCCTCGACCTCGACCTCGACACCCCACACACCCCAACAACCGCCGTTGGGATCCTGAGACCGAAAAACTTCGACTCTCTCACTGTTTTGTGCTTTTTCCTCTCTCTCTCTCTCTCTCTCTCTCTCTCTCTTCTGTGTGTGTGTGTGTGTGTGTGTGTGTGTGTGTGTGTCAACGGTTCCAAAGTGCGATAATTTTCACACTTTCCTTCACATTCTTCTCTGCTGTGTGTCTCTCTCTCTCTCGATAAAATCTTGAGCGGTCGCGGGGCGGGGGGCGAGGGCTCGTGAGCAGCGTGTTCCATTCTCCCTCTCTCCCTCTCTGTCTCACACACACACACACTCGGTCTTCATCGCACTTTTCGTCTCTCTATTGAGAGTCTGGGGAGCCTCTGATTGGTTGCTTCACAAGGGCACACTTCGGGCCAGCCGCCTTGGACCTCGGCGTTGTTCAAGTCACACCTGTGGTTTGTCCCTTTCTCAAGGCGGGGGTCTGATCCCGCCGAGAGGCGGTGACGCTCTGGGCTACTTTGAGTTATCAGATAACCTGGCAACATGGCGCACACGGCCGCCGACAGCTCAGCTATGTTGGCGGGAAGCCTGTTAAAGTGGACAAACCTGTGGTCCGGCTGGCAGAAACGCTACTGCGTCGTGGCTCGTGACGGCCGCTTTTATTACTATTTGGATCAAAACACCATGGACAACGTCGGCAGCCGTGGCTTTATCGTCCTTGCCTCGGCACAAATCTCGCGTAAGCACCGCGCTCAGAGTCCTTGCGGTGTGCCCTGTCGAACCTTCCTGACCCTGGCGGTGCGTGCCACACAGCCGAAGCTGAAGACACTGATTTCAAGCTCATCTCCCACGACACCACGATTCACTTTCGCGCCGTCGATGCCAGGTTTGGTCTGGTGCACCCAGTACTGCCTCGTTGTCCTGCGCATGCGCATGCCCTCACCCGCGCTTGTCGCCACCCCACTGGATTAGGGAGCGTCAGCGCTGGCTTTTGGCGCTCACATCAGCAAAAATTCGGGCCAAGCAAAGTCAGTCCGCGTACCTGGCAGCTTGCGCTCGAGCTGCATCCGTTCGGCTGCCGAGATCAATGGACTCTAACGGGCCCGAACGCACTGTCCTGAATCTTTCTCGTTTCCGACAGAGGACGATCGCTCCTTAGTTGAACCGGTCGTCGAGCAGCACACGCCACTCCCAGCAGCGCTAGGCCTACGCGGTGCAGATATGCCACCCCCAGTCATCATCCCGCGACACCTCCGCCCATCTGCCTCGCACCATAGTGCCCATCGACAGGTGCGTGCCTGCGCATCGACATTGTGTCCTCGGCCTCAGCTTTTTGACACTTCACCAACTCAACTTGATGTAGGCCGTCCTGAACCTGGCAGAGCATGTTCGCGTGGCACAAAATATTGCCGCAAACCTCGGTGCCCTCTCCCATGTAGAGGCGTCGGGGCTCGTGGATGGCCTGGAGACCGAGCTGCAGGGCATGGCCAAGCTAGTCGCCTCGCTTCTCACCTCAGGTCCCGATCAAGGTCCGCAAGCGCACCGACGCTAGTGTGGTGACGGATGAGAAGTTGTTTGGTCTTACCCTTCCCTCTCCACCTCTATGCCGTGCACGTGACAGGTGACTATTCCTCCCAGTTTCACACCCCTGCCATTACAGATGATGACGATGATGAATCCCTCGAGGTGGCTGCCCTCCTGGAGGGCAGTGGGGAGGGCCTTGAACGGACGAGCTCCGTGGACACCTTCATCGAGCGCGATGACAGTCGCCGTGGGCCCCCGTCGCAGCTTCCCAACCTCAGCCTACTCTCAGCCGTGTCGTCGCCTGGCCCTGCAAGCCCCTTACGACCACCCACTTTCTTCTCGCAAATGGACCACTCCTTCACGCGCTACCGGCTGCTGGAACGCCACGGCATCCCAACCTCACCTTTCCTAGCTGCTTGCCGCGCCATTATTCCGTGTGTCGAGAAACTTGGAAGCACCGCGTTTGCACCCGTCAAAGGTGAGTATTTACAATTTGCAAGGTGAAACAATGCTTGTTCATGCCCCAAAGCATTCAGGCGTGTTTTGCACACCTCCCTGCTGCGCAGGCTGGTGGTCCACCCACGCTGACGTGTCTCTGCCTTTGGGTAGGCGATGTACTTGGCAACATTGAAAAGATTGAAAAGGCCTATCTGATCGAACCAGACGGTCGACACACGCTGCAAGGTTTGCTCCACCCCAGTGACCCAACTCCACCCTCACCAAAGCGAATGCGTGGCTTTGGAGCGGCGCTGGACATCAGTGCTCATCGTGTCGGGCGCTCTGGCGTAGCTCTGGTGCAGGACGAACTGACCCGAAAGGTGCATACAGCAAGCGGCTCGGCGACGGACGCCCTGCTCTGGCTGCAGCGTGCCCTGAGTTTTCTCTGCAGTATGTTGGAGGAGTTGGCCAATGGCAATCATAACATGTCAAAGGCAGCATCCAACGCGTACAACTCGACGCTGAGCAAGCACCACAACTGGATTGTACGTTCGGCGCTAAACTTTTGACTGCGTCTTGCTCCTTCAAGAGTCAAAAGCCGGATCGGAACGAGGGGGGCGACATGTGCATCCTTGACCACAGAAAAAGAAAGCAAAGGCGAGGTGGGGGAGTGAAAGGCCTTGTCCGTCGTCTCACGTTTTGTTTCTGTTCTTGTTTTGTTTTGTTTTTTTGCTTTGAAATCCGCACAGGTTCGCGGTCTTTTCTCGGTCGTCTTGCAGAGCGTGCCCGAGTACTCCACTTTTATCAAAACTCTGGGTCCGGCCAACGAGCACTGCGTGCTGGAAGACATGGAAGTCTACGTGACCGCCCTCAAGACGCAGCTTCGCATTCTACAATCCTTTTATGCTGATAATCATCTCGAGGTGTAGCGAGCACCACAGATGTCGACTACACACGCATAAACCCGTTATCTGCGTTTGTACATAATACACAGTGCTTGACCTGCCTCGTTTGTTAACAAGCCCTGCGATTGCCACCTTTGCTTGAATGTGTGCTGACACAACACAAGCAGTGCTGCCTCTACCATTTGACCACCAGATTCTCACGACGTGCCCCTCTCCTCATACATACACTCACACAGAATGAGAAAATGTGGCTGCTGGGCCTGAAAACTCAATTGTAACGACCCAGATTTATTTTGTTTTTGCTTTTTTGAAAACCTTGCCTGCAGCCCAGCTCTCAGCGCGCATCCATCGTGTATGCCGACGAAAACACTCTGCTTCAATGCCAGTCACAAAACAAAACTCGCAGGGCCGTCAGTCTTCACCGAATCTTCTCAAGCGGAGCAAAAGTCCAGCCGGGTTTCTAGGCTGTGGTCGCAGGCAAGCTCGGGCTGGCCTGCTGGACCTCGACGGGATTGTATGTGTTATCTTCCGGATGAAGACCCTCGGTATCGTCATCATAGGCGGCATAGCCGTCCAGTTCGCGGTCTGTAGGCTCGAGCTCGGCCGAGGCAAAGTAGGCCGACACGGTCAAAGCGAGGTATGAAAACCACACGAAAAGAGCACCCGCACGGCCCTGGTCCACGTGCTTCTCGTCGCACGACGCGCTGATGCCCAGTGCGTACGAGAGACCAAACAAGGAAAAATACGCCGCAAAAACAAAGCTAGGGCACAAAAGGACCAAGCGCATGCGTGAGCGGATCCGCACACAAGAGAGCGTTTAGGTATCGGGATATGATGAAGCTGATCATACCTGAAAAGTGCAACGGCACGGTGACGGCAAAAGAGTGCCACAGCCGTAAGCACCACAAGAAACACGTTGAATGAGGTGAAGCTGTACATCAGGAAGGAGCCCGAAGGATCAGCTGAGGAGCCGCCCGAGCGGCTGCTTGTTCCATAAAGTGGGTTGGCTGCAGACATGACAAGGCACGTGTCATGAGGGGACGTTTGCCTCAGCGCGTGTCATCAGGACGGGCCAGATGCATGACGCACCCACGGGATCGCACGACCAAAGGATAATGCAGCCCAGGAAGGAGAGAACGGCACCAGCGCCGAGGGAAATGAGCTCTGGTGTAATATTGAAGTTGAGGTCCGGCTTTTGAGCAATCACGGCGGCGATGCCCAGATAAAAGCCGAAAAGATTCAGGACACCGCCAGCCAGAGCCTTTTGCAGTTCATGCTGTCGTATGGTGCGAGAGGCAGGGTAGAAAGGTCAAGGGGTCGCACAATGCGCACCGGTTAAGACTCGGGGCTCGAGGGTAAGCTCGAGGATGCAGCGGGGCCTAAAAAGCATGCCTCAACGCCATGCCCCCAAAATCGCACATCAACTTCTGTTGGAAACCATACCTTGAGCTCGTCATTGGAATCGCCGATGAGATCAATCTGCTTTCTAACCTAAGGACACGGATGGCAATGCGCAGAGGGTCAGGGGCAAAGAATAGGGGCGGGAAGGAGCACAGGCTGTGAACCCCTGGCAAAAGCAAAGGACGTACCAAGGTCATGGTGCCCCAGTGGGAGAAGGTACCGGTGGCAGAGTCGGCACCAATGATGCCGACCTGGTGGGTCATGACAATGAGAAGAAGTGGAATGGTGGTTAGCAGCTGAAACTTGTAGCCTGCAAAGCACAACGAGATGTCGCAGCCCCGTTGCAAGCAGGTGAGATGTACCGCACAATCAGGCTACTTTGGGTGCATTCATTGACATGTGGGTCTCGATCACGCACTGTTGCGCAGGAGAAGGGCGCCAGCACAGCACACAATGAAGATCCAAGAGGTAAAGATAAAGTATTGCGTTGAAGCGTTGCCATCCTGTGCGCGGTCGGCCGCAAGAAAACAGTGAGGCCCATCGAGGCAGTACAGGGTTACATGCTGCTGGTAGCAGAGAGCAAAAGCATGCCCGCCAACTCGTTGCTCTCGAAGAGAGCGGCTCGAACAAGTCTGACCTTCTCAGGACCGGTGCTTCCGCTGCCTTGGGACTTGTGCTGGTAATTCCAGAGGAGCGAGCTTCCAATCTAGTGAATGAGGATATCACCCACCCCAACCCCGACAAGGGGTGGCGTACAGAGGTTATGAGCAAAGTCAATGCAGTCGGAGAGCTAGACGAGTCTACTGCTTCGCAATGTTCGACTTGACACTGCCTTTCTGTGACAGGGGTCAATAGGCAGGCTGCAACGCACGAGAATAAAGAAGCCAGCGACGCCAATGAGGCCGAGGCGGATTTTGTTGTCACCGTTCAACATCATCTTGACGTTGTCACTCAGGCCCGACATGGCACGCTCCGGTCTCGCTGTCTGCCGAGCCGGAGAGCCAGTTCGTGAGCAAGTTCAAGAGCAGAGCAAAAGCAAACCCGTGCCAACGCCCATCCCAACCCTCTCAAACGCACGATATGAACAACTTATAACAATCACCCCTACCCACCAAGCCCATCGAACCGCCCTATCCCTTCCCTGCTTCCCCTGCTTCCCCTGCTTCCCCTGCTTCCATCCCATCTCAGTCCTCTGCCCCGTCGCCGTCGCATGTTTCCCCACCACAAAGACAGAGGCGTTAAGTGTGTGTGTGTGTGTGTGTGTGTGTGTGTGTGTGTGTGTGTGTGTGTGTGTGTGTGTGTGTGTGTGTGTGTGTGTGGTAGTCTCCCTTTTCCAACTCAGCAACTTGCTTTCAACACACGGTAATAGTGACCACAACTGAAATGTCAGACAATTTAGGCCAAAAGTGAAGTTGCGGTTTTTTTTTGTTTTTTTTTTTTTGCAGGTGGATACGGATACGGTGAGGCTGAGGCTGAGGCTGAGGCTGGTCTTTCGTTGCACCGCTTTTCGTGTGGAGCTCGCTTTCCGCTGGGACGGTTTGGGACCGCATGGACACCTCTGGAACTGCAAGCTTGTCCCATTATCGCCGTGTTTGCCCGGCAATTCGACCTGGGGATCGGGTCTCATGACGGCACCGCGAGCTTTGGTGGCGGGCGCTGACTTTCCTCATGAAGAGCTCATTCCCAGCCTCGAGTGGTACGTAGTACGGGCGTTTCCGTTCTCTAAAGGCACGCATGGGGCCTTGCGAACGCACCCTATGCTCATACCGCCCAGCCTTACCTTGCTTGATTGTATGCTCCTCTGGTCTTTGGTTTCGTGCCTAGTGCGCCGGCCTCCAGCTGTGTCACGTTGAGCGCTGATGAGCTCGATGCTCTCTGCCAGACACTGCACCGCATCCAAGTTCGCACCATCGTGAGCATTGGTTGCGGCTGTGGCTACGTCGAAGGCTTGCTTGAGCAACGCGGCCTCACCGTCCTGGGTGTTGATCTTCTGCAACCGGGCGATGACTTTGAGTCGTACCTCACCACCCCAGCTTACTGCTCTTGCCTGTATCGCGTCCCGCGCACCGCACTCTTTGACATCAGAGCCCGCTTGCCGCCGACAGCGCTAGACCCAGATCCACTAACACAAACAACGTTTCTCTTTTGCTTTGGTCGTCGTCTTCCCTGGCGTGACTACTTGGCATGTTTTCCCGAGGTATGTGCTTCCTTGCGGTGTCACAAAGGTTGGCTGGGCGGGCAACTCTGCCAAGCTCACAGCCTGGTTCATCAAGATTGCTTATGCCCTTGTCATGGCGGACGTGGCCGCTCCAGCAGCCGACTCCAGTAAGCCCCCGCGCCCTTCATCCCGGGAGCACGTTAGCAACACAACTGGGCAAGGATTGAGCAAGTCACACGCGTGGTTCCCCGGTTTGATTGGCGCGCATTTCTTCACGTTGCACTACGCCTTGCGAGTGGCCAGGTTCAGTTGCACAGCCACATGCTTATGAGTTGAGCCAGTTGCTTGATTGGCAACAAGTCTGGTCAACTCCCTTGCGCACAATGGCACTACCAGCTGCGTGTGTTCTTGCTCGGCGCAACGCTGCAGCATAAGAGGGAGCGATGGTCCTCTCCAGACACTGCTGACTCTGCGAGTCGTTGCAGAGGTCGTGCTGTGCACGTCGACGCGCTGGCGCAACCAAGCCTTTTAAAAAATAAAATAGGCACACAATCACGAAGGCGTGGTCGATTCCAATCATGCATCAGGCTTTGCTTCAGAAGCCGGCCCGTCCCTGGCATGCCGGTCTCACACGCATATTCCCCTCTCGAGTTGACTACAGGAAACAATACCATCATCTCAGCGTGCCAACACACAATGGAGCCGCACAAGGCCTTGGGGGCCCCGAATCTTAGTGATTTGTCGGCACATCTGTGCTCTACAGGTCGAGCGTGAGGCCCTTGGCCTTGAGCACCGTTTCAAACCAGTGGTCACCCGCTGTGTGTCGCCCAATGCAATCAATGAGGCAATTACGGAACGGGGCAGATCTGAAAAGGTACATGGTTGCCGGCAATCACGTACTAGGCGAGTCAGGGTTGCGGCCCGTCAAAATCTCAACACCGTCCTCCGTCACCAGCAAAGTGTGCTCAAACTGCGCTGACCGCTTGCCATCCTACCAGGATGATTGCGCGAATCAACGAGAAAGTGGCTGGTCATGCCTGGCGGGGAAGACGTTGTGCAATTTGCCTTGCTCGGCACATGAATCGTCAAGTCGCGCTTCCTTGACCCAAATCATACCTTGGTGGTGATGGTCCAGCTATCCGGCCAGGTCACGTCATCCCAGGTCCCCACGTTGATCAAGGGCTCGATCGTAAAGGTGTGGCCTGGCTTCATGACGCCAGCCGTCTTGTTACCTATCATCGTGGTTCAGGCATGAATCTACGTGCCGTTGTCATTTCAAAGAAGAGTGGAAGAGGTTGCAAATACTACGTACGGGCGTAGTGCGGAACATTGGGGGCGCAATGAAAAAGGTTGTTGATGCCGTGACCGCAAACGCTGCGCACAACAGAAAAGCCATTGGCCTCTGCGTGCTCGGAAATCACCATACCCAAGTCTCGATAGCGCACTCCAGGTTTGCCTACCCGCGCGGCGTTGATGAGCAGGGACCACATCACGGTGGATAAACGCGCACCATTGCGTGGCAGGGTTCTTCGCGGCGGCTATGTCAGAGCATGAGGAAGCAGGGGGGGCACAAAACAAACTCATGGCAATGGCGCGGTACAGGCACTCGTAGGCGACCTTCACTAGACGGAAGGATTCGTCGTCCACTTCGCCAACCAGATACATCTCGTTCAAATCAGCGTGGTAACCGTGATAATACACCGATACGTCCACTAAGCAAGACGCACGCAGATGAGCGATTTGCGATGCAGCTGGAGACAAGTGACAAGTCTACAAAAGGCCGATAGGCACGAACCATTGATGATATCACCGTCCTTGAGGGGATATCCATCGGGAATGCCATGACAGATGACCTCGTTCAGAGAACTACATCATGCAGGCGCGACCGGTTTGGGGTGAGCGTAGCAACCGTGCGCCATCCAAGCATGTGGCTCGCCGTATGATCGACGAGCAGATGACCAGGAACGGCGTGTTAACGCACGTGCAGCAGGATTTGGGGAATTGATAGTAGTTGAGCGGTGAAGGGTAGCAGTCACGCTCCAAGCAGGCCTGTGATGATCACCGCAACGTTAGTGCTGGGCGAAAAGGAGCGTAGGAAAAACTCACTGATACTCCCACATGCCCGGGGGGGCTCACCTTGTGGCACACGGCATCAATTTCATCTGTTGTGACGCCAGGCTTGATGATGCGGGCGCACTCGTCCAACACCTCGCGACCCAGCTGTGTATGGCCGACGGTGCTTGGTTAACCGTTGAATGACACGAGCACGCCGGCCTCGAATACATGAGCGAGTGTCAAGTTTTACCTTGCAGACGTGCCGCATCTTTTCAATCTCCTCAGCGGAGAGCTGGCGCAACTGAGACTTGTTGCGGACCTCACTAATGGGCTCGCCAAGTGGGTGGAGTGCGTAGTCTGGCTTCTCGATGTGGGGCGGTATGGGCCGGCGCGGCGATTGGGCATAAGGCCGTAGGGGCCCCGTAAACTTGAAACCAGGAAAGGTCATGGGCACTGACTCGGCCATTTCTGCAACCCTCATGTGGCGGTCCAAAAAAAAAAAAATATCATGAGACTTGTGTTTGTGGGCACGACGTGCATACGCATCAAGTCGGCCCACGGGGTGTATGACAGGGGTCAGACCGGAGGTAGCACGCTGAATGGCCAGCTTTGCCAATTTGTGGGTCATCTTGTGATCGTTCCAGGCCCCCTTGAAGCAAGCCTGATCCGACCCAGCGCGTGATGGGTGAGTTGGCGGTGGGGGTCGCACTGGATACCGAGAATGGTAGGTTGATATCTCATGCCTCTCATCTTGAAGGAGCGATGGAGTCACCTGGGAGCAGAAGAAGGAGCCGATGTCAATGTTCATCTTGATGCAAGTGGGGCATCGCATTGAAGCGGGCTTGTCACAGCCCTTGGTAGCGCACTTGACCATGACGAACGGTCCTCAGTGGCGGCGATCGGCGACAGTTCTTGGGACAAACTGAGCAATGAGCGTGGACGATGCGCCGCGTACGGGTTTGTCAAAGGCCACCCACCCACAACAAGCTTCAGCGTCCCTCGAAAGCACCGTCACCGCACCTAGAGGTACCTCTCGCCACCGCCCGTCCGCAAACAAACGTTGCCCGATAACGACGAAGAATCCGATCCAGTCCTTCGCCCACGCGAACCAATGCGAATGCGTGTGTGTGTGTGTGTGTGTGTGTGTGTGTGTGTGTGTGCATTTGCTGACATTTCCACCTGTATCGGTTTTGTCAGACAAAATAGGGCTTCTTTTTGTGTCTTTTGTCTCTCTCTCTGTCTCTCTCCTGTCTCTCTCTCTGTCTCTGTCTCTCTCTCTCTCTCTCTTCTCTCTCTGTGTCTTTGCTGTTTATATCTTTCTCTTTCTGAAACTCTCGCTCACACACCCTCTCTCTCTCTCTCTCTCTTCATTTCTTGTTGTCAGTGATCATTTGGGAGACGCGCAGAGAAACGGCAGTCGGCTGGGGTGTCGGGAGGGATAGCACGCGCTGGATGTTACTGGTCATCTTGTTAGCGTGGTATCTCAAGCAATCAATATCATCATCTCTGTTTGCCTGTGTGATTTGAGTGAGCTTGTGAAGCAATTGCTGCCGACGCGGCGACGCGGACGGCGCAGAGAGTTCTTTGGGCAAACCAACGGGAAGAGGACGCCTTGGTCCGTCGTGGCATCTTCGTGCTTCTCTCCAGTTGTTTCTTGACTGGCATTGACGGCAGGGAGCCACTTGCCCCGCCGTCGCTTACACGCGCCTGCATGAGTGTGCCGCTTCCGAAACGGACGAGCTCCAGCGCAAACGGCATGAGTGCTTCGTCAGAACCCCTGTCCAAGGAGGCCAAAATGGCCCTGGATAACTTCATTCAAAGCAATGGCATCGAGGTGGGTCAACCCAAACCTGTTGCCTCGTGCGCACGTGTTTGCCTGCCTTTCAATCCTTTTCTTTGGTGAACTGTGGCGACGGAGGATGCCTGTTTCTTTGAATCAAAATCTTCCCATGAGCAAATGCACTCAACCCCGTCTCGTGTTGTCCGTCGAGTTCTTCTAGGCAGTTGACGACATTTATCGCTACGATCGAGATGCCCACAATGCTCAGGTCATGGCTGAAGGCTACAAGCAAGAGTAAGCTACCTCGCACCTGCTTGTGAGGCTGCTTCAACAGACTAGACCCCTGACGAAACATCGTCCGGGTTGCGTGCATCTTAGTGTGCATTACTTCAAGAAGGCTCGCATTTCAGCGCTTGCACTCTTAAAAATGGTACGCTTGGTCTACTTGCACCCTTGCGTCCTGGCGCAATAACCCAGTCCAATCAAGGCCCGTCTTCGCATGATCATGCTGGTTCTTGACACAGGTGATGCATGCTCGATCCGGCGGCAAGCTGGAAGTCATGGGCATCATGCAGGGCAAAATTGATGGCGACACCATGATTGTCATGGACTCTTTTGCACTTGCCGTCGAAGGTCTGTCATGCTCCTAGTCACAGCACTCTCGCTCTGGAGCCACTGTACCACGCTCAGCCAATGTCGCCCCTTGCTACGGCACTGGTCTGTCACAGGCACTGAGACCCGCGTGAATGCTGGTGATGCCGAAGCCGGCTACATGGTGACGTACATGGAAATGATTCAACGGGTTGGGCGGCACGAAAATATGCTTGGCTGGTATCATTCCCACCCGGGCTATGGATGCTGGCTTTCCGGCATTGACGTGGCCACCCAATCCACCAACCAGCTCCATCAGGATCCCTTCCTGGCCATTGTGGTTCGTTGCACGACCGCTCTTTGGCAGCACTGCCTGCCACGAACTAGTGCAAAGCCAAAGATGGCGCGTGTTTCTCTCCGCATACCCACATCTCCCTCATCCGGTTGGCTCTGCTAGGTGGATCCAGTGCGCACGGCAGCCTCTGGCAAGGTCGAACTTGGCGCTTTCCGCTGCTACCCCCCGGTTAGTGACATGGTTGTTACGGACCTGGACGGCCGGTTATAACAACAAGCGCACAAGCTCAGTCCAATTCCACTGGACGTTGTTTGGCTAGGATTATGTGCCCAAAGATGCTCCAAAGTCCGAGTACCAGACCATCCCCTCGGACAAGATTGAGGACTTTGGCGTTCATGCCAATGCGTACGTTGCGTTGTTTGCACTTGCACTCACTGCACAAGCGGGGCAGCTTGTACATGCCTTGGTGTCTTTGCGCCCGCCTGTTCACCCCACATGATTGTAGGTATTATCCCTTGGAGGTGTCGTATTTCAAATCCAGCCTGGATGACATGCTTCTTCGATCCCTTTGGAACCAATATTGGGCTGCAACCCTGGCTTCCTCGCCCCTGACCACCGTATGTCCCCATGCACATCTGTACAAGCAAGCGCTTCCGGTAGTATCGCGCACCTACGAGCAACTGGTCTCACAAACCTTCTTCTCCTTCTTCTTCCTCTTCCTCTTCTTCCTTTTCCTCCTCTCCTTTTCCTTTTCCTTTCCTTTTTCTCTTTGCTTTTCGCTCTGCCTGGAATTAGAGCGCCGCATACATCGACGGCCAGCTGGCCGACGTGGCCACCAAGTCACAGCAACAAGCAGAATCGGTTTGTATACCAGGGTGGTGCACTCGTATGGGACTCCAGCTGCAAAGCTAACTTTTTTTGCCCACACATCTCGGTAGAGCTTGAGCGGTCCGATGCGCTCGCTGACCATGTGGATAGAGCCCAAGAGCAAAAAAGGCGTTGATGACCTTACCAAGCTCATTCAGGACAGGTACTCTTTTGCGCATTCCACCTGGCTTTGCCGCCAACTATGAATTCCCTTCGGTTTTGGCGTGTCACCGTACTCTGCCGTGCAAACAAGCCATCCTGTTGACGCGTGCTAACCGCGTATTGCACACGCTTTCTCCGTTTTGTCACGGCAGCTCCAAAGTGGCAATGGAGTTGAGCAAGGGCACCATGAGTCAGCATCTCAAGGAGCAGCTCTTTAACACCAATTTTGCTTCCCCGTCCAGTTGATTCAGACGGAACCCTCGGACATGTACGAGTTGAATTGATTGTAACATCAGCTTGGCGCGCACCAAAATCCAACTCGTAACTTGCAGCACATCACCCACTGGCGCACGGCACCAGACACAAACCAAATCAACAGATATAATCAAATAAAAACCAAAAACATGGTAGAAAGGAAACAGCAAAGGTATTTCAAATACGCAACTGGATGGAGGAATGGGCTTGCTTCATCGCAACACGCCGTCATTCCAACAAGCAAAAAAACAGGCAGCTTTGGTGTATGGAACCAAAACTGCATAGAATAAGAATAACATGCATGGCGTTGACCGTCGAGCTGCACAGGGGAAAAGCAAAGCAAGAGTAGAGCAGCGCCGCACAACGCCGCACAACGCCGCACAACGCCGCACAACGCCGCACAACGTCAAACTGCACAGCAACAGAAACAGCACAGCACAGCACAGAAACAGCACAGCACAGAAACAGCACAATACCAAGACAAGCAAAGCTAAGATGAAACAGAGGGTAGAGGCGATGCACCACAGCACCGCAAGCCAATGAGAATCTGGCTCACAGAAACTCAAAAGCGAGTAGATAAAAGCGTAGAAGCGGCGAGACCAGCGCAGCCGGTTCACTAGACAAGGATTACACATTGAGGCCAGCCAGAGTTGCCTACAACGGTTACACGGTAGACACAGTTGCCGGCCCTTGTTGGATCATCAGCTCTGCATCGCCACCCGTCGCGGCGTCCAGATGGCGCAACCGGTGGTGGAGGTGTTTGACCTAGATGAAGACCCCGGGGGTCAGTGCGACTATCAGAGCAGCATCGGGGCGCATCCGGCAGAGAAACACGAGGACCAACCGTTTGCCGCAAGACGTGCCGTTCAAGCTTGAGATGTTCGACCTGGTTACTGTCCTGTTGGCCCTGCGCGAGCAAGTGCGAGGCTAGACTGCGCGACTCCTGCTCAATCAGGCCATGCTCCAACGCCAACTGCCTATCGTGATGTCATGTAATCCACGCAGTCAATGAGGGGGCATGAGAGGGCGGTGGTGTGGTGCAGTCTGGTAGCGGAGGACAATGCCAGACGTACAGGTAGGGCAACATGAGGCGCTGCAGATTTTGGTGGTCACTGAGTATGCAATTGAGTCGGTTGCGCAGCTCATCCGCTTCTTCTTGGCAGCCAATGCTGGCAGCTGTAGCCTCGCGAGCTTGGGTCAGGGCACGGTTCCGGGCCTCGAGGTGCTGACGAGTGGCCTCGTGCTCGGCTCCTAGTTGTTTACGCAAGAGATCACACCGAGCTCGCTCCTCAGACAGCAGAGCCATGAGCGCATCCGAATGAAGCTGCAACTCGCTGTGTGCCGCCTTGGCCTGTTCTTGTGCTGTCGTCGTGTCGTGGCATGCCTGCACGAGCTCAGCCTCTGTCTTGCGTTGCTCGGCAGAAAGCATCTTGACCATGTTCTGGGCTTCGATAAGCTTGCGATGGAGGTCAGCGTTGATGGTCACGGCCGCAGAGGCAGCATTGCCAGAGTGGGCGGCAGGAGGCTCAGTTTGCGTGGTCGCCACACAGCGGACCACGTTGGGCGCATGTGTGTCCTCCAGAGCACCATAGGAAGGAGGTCGCGATGACTGCTGCTTGCGCTGGAGTTCGGCCAGAACGTGCAGCACTTGCGATTGCAGGTTGTTGCACTGGGCCTGCAAATTTTTGCGTTGCCCGAGTAGGACAACAAGCTTGTCGTTCAATTCCTTCACCAGCTGTTCCGAGTCGCCGCGATCCAGTCGGTACCGCTTGACCTTGGCGCGCAGCTCTTCGATCTATGCCCGACACGCCCCAGGTAGTTCCATGAGAAAGTGGTGGATGCACGAAAAAGGCGAAATTCTCCTTGGTGTGGGCTTGGAAATTTGGAATCCGCGAAAGGCGGGCTGTGCGACAAATTGCTTGATTGGCCGAAATTACCTGGGTAAGAAGCTTGACCCGCTCATCCTGGGATTGCTCCAGTTGCTTCTCGAAGCGAAGGGCGACGGTTCGCCAGTGATCTGATGATGCTCGAACAAAAAACTACAGCGCCCTCAAGTTGCAGTAGAATTTGTGAAGACATGCAAAAGGACAAGTCGTTGATGCACAAGGTTTGGCGGTAGAAGGGCGCGTTGAGGGGCCACAGAAATGGCAGCTTACATTGTTCCGGTCCACCACCTGTTGCGTGTGTTTGGAAGTGGCGGTGAGATCATCGAGTTGTGCCTTGAGGCGCAGCATCTGCGTCTGGAGCGTTGACACTTGTTCGATGGCCGTCTAGTAAGGGACGAGAGATCAAGACACCAAGCGCTGCAATGAGGCCAGCGGCAAGCCTGCGGAACGAGGCGGGTACCGTAGGAAGGTTGAGATAAAGCGATCGGACAGACCTGCCGCTGAGTTTCTGTATCGCGGAGCTTGGCCTGCGTAGCCTCAAGTTGCTATTGAGACAGGTGGACAAAAGGCGTGAAGATGAGGGCACAGGGCGAGAGCACAAGGACATGGCGAATGGGGTGTGGAGATTGAACAACAAGAAGGGCGACAGGCGCCGCACCAAGTACCTTGGTGAGATCACGAGTGCGCTTGGCTTCGACCTTAACGACGGCCTTTTCGCGAATGTTTGGGGCCTAAATTGAATCAAATCATGTCAGCGGCAATGAAATCGTCGTTTGAGTGAGCCCAAACGTGGTAGGTACGAAAGACGTCAGGATGAGGCACATGGCGTTGTAAGAGCCATGCGCATGACAGGGATGTTAGCTCCAGGGATAGCTGGCCAGGCACGGCGAACCTCGTCAAAATCGAGCTGACGGAGTGATAAAGCTGGCGAGGGTGCACGATCATGCAACTTTGGCACCTGCGCACCGTCCGACGCGAGGCAGAGTCGAAAGTAACGGTGAGTGGGGGAAGAAACACAGTGGCAGCACACGATGATGAGGAGCAAAACTTGCATTTTCCTGGTCAGCACTGCGATTTTCTTGATCGCGAAGATGGCGACGGCGGGCCAAGAGGGGTGAGGTGTTGGCGCTCTGCGTCTGACGCAGGCCCTTGTCCTTGTCCTTGATGGACCAGTCTACGGAAGAGCAGGGACACGTCATTGAGGCAGCAGATGCAGCAGGCCGCGAGCAATCCCAAAGTGACGCACCTTGGACAGGTAGAATGTCGGTCGCCACAACGCCCATCATGTTGGAGTTCTCTGAGAACCAATCCATAGTGCACGAAAGAAAGCAAAGGAAAAGGCAAGGCCACCAGGCAAGAACCACGCCCCGCGCGCTGGCGAGCGAGTGAGCACACAGCAAGGGACGGAGAAAGGCAGAAGAGCTGAACAACATTCGCCGGCACAAACGAGCACGCTCAAGACAACGAATGCACATGCACACGCGGGGGGGGGGCTTTGGATGGGATCGGAGGCCAGAGGAAGGGCAAAAGGCACGCCGGGTGCACCATGCCAACACTGACAAGTGTCGACAGCGGAACACACAAGTGCGCAGCGCAGACGCGCGGCCATTGCCCCGTTTCCTGCCCTCTGACCCATCCCAGCCTGAGACCTGACCAAGGACTTGCGCACACGCACATAGAGGACAAGCTGACAGAGCGATAGCGTGACTGACCGTAGCTTGGTCAAGTGCAAGTGAAGGTGGTGGTGGTGGTGGGCCGGACCATGCAAACCCAACGCCGAGCGATGCAGCGCAAAAAAATCCACAGCCAGGCGTCAAATCGCAAGGCAATGGGGATCTGAATGGAAAGCGTGAGAGGGAAAGGAAAAGGAAAAAAAAAAAAAGCTGACCGCCAGCGGCCACAGACTGCGTTGCAAGCAAGACAACAAGCAAAGCAATCAAGTCGTGTTTGTTGTTCCCCCAGAGGTGGATGAAGAACCAACGTCCTGCCTTGAGCTCGATCGGCTGTGAGAAGAAAGCGATGGGATGTCTGCGTGAGACAACACAAGACGGGGGAATGAGAAAATGGCGCCCCGTTTCACCTGCGACGAGAGAGGAGCGAGGCCCAGGGGCGCGTCACTTGCTTGTCGAGACAGTGTTGAACAGCAACGCGGTCGCCCATTACCAACCAATCACGCAGCAGTGGGTCACACACAAGCGCAACAAGGCGTTGAAGCACCAGGCACCAAACCACACCACCACCACCCCCTATGAACCTTGCAAGAAGCCCTTGACCATGTCCCCACTTCGTTGGCTACACACCAGCCCATTTCCCAATGGGCAAGGGTCGTCCAGACGCTTGGTCCTGACGACCTTTTCACGTGTCCTCCCGAGTGACCCTGGTGCCAGACCACCACCACCTGACGTGGTCGTCCCGCCAGCCTCTGCAAAGCAAGCAAGCGCTGACCCCTCGCCCGCACGCATGAAGCCACGGGATCTTATTTTTTTTGAAAAGACCGACAGCAGAATCGCTGGTAACGTTTTCAAAGATGCGTGCATGTAGGCAAAATACCTTGGAACAGAGAGGCTGAAGGACGCTCATGGCGGTCGTGGGATCGGAGGCGTTCTTCCATGGAGGTGGCAGGGTCAACTGGCACGAATTGATGACGCGGAAGCAGGATGTGCAGTGTAGAAAGACAAGGCCATGCACCACCACTTGTGCCGTTACAAATCGGATTTGGCATGGCCATGATTGAAGGATTTTGCGCACCACCAGTTTCAAAGTGGGCCCCAAGCCTTGTTTGGGCCCAGACACGAGGCAGATTGGCTCGCTTTGGTACATCAAGTGGCACGGGCTTCCTGCTTCCTCGGTGCCAAGGCCTCTGCGCGCCTAATCAGAGAAGCAACACAACGAGCAATGCCCAGAGCAGAAACTCTCGCGCGCATGGCACTCGTGGGCACTCATCGTTCTCCGCGTTGGGGGTGCGCCTCCCGAAAACGAACTCCCTTTTTTTTTTTTTTTTAACCAGGACGCCGCGACACGATAATACTCACGGGTGGGCTCGACCCATGCCCTGACGAGCCTGCGCACGCGCCCTTGATTCACTTCCCAATGTATTTCAATTTTGAGCTGCAGCGGTAACGTGGGTTTGCGTGGTGTTCAAGATGCCCAATATCTTTCATCAATCAGATGGCCTCTTACATGTTCTACCTGCTCCGATCCCTGCACCCCATCGTCAACACCCAACGGTTTGCTCGGGACCCTCACGACTTGCCAGGACCTGCTTTCTCTTCTTCCTCTCCCTGGCATGATGAAGGCTGGCCACATGTGACGGTTTGCTACGAGCTATGGACACGGGATCTGTATTCGTCTCTGCCTAGGACTTGATCGTGTCAGCATAAGTTGCACGTGCGGCCGCAATCAACTCGGCATGCCTCAAAAGCACCATGGGTAAAAACAGCAGCAGACAGCTTGTGGGCACGCATAGGTTTTCGGGCCACAAACTGTCTACAGCTAGGACTTGGTCGTGTAAGCATAAGGTGGCCACTATCAACGCGGCGTGCCTTGAAAGCTCCATGGGTAAACACAGCAGGAGACAGCTTGTGGGCACGCATAGGTTTTCGGGCCGACACCAACCCTTTTACTGTCCAAGAATGGTGTACTGGAGGATGCGCTGCATCCCTTCGGGCACCAAGGCCGCCAAAATCCGGGTCGCATATAGCTCAGCAAAGGGATAGAACACCTCGCGTTGCCGCCGCTGTACTCCTGTGGCAATCGCGCGCGCCGTGTCTGCCGCCGACACGCGTGGGATGTGGTCAATTTCGCCGTGCGTGTTCTCGCGCGCTGATGTCGTGTCAATACTACCCAGAATGGCCAGAGTCATGGAGATATTGCTGGCCCGCTCGGCTAGCTCAAAGCGCAGCGAGTTGAAGAAGCCATGGAGCGCATGCTTGGTGGCAGCATAGGTGGCTACCCGTGGCAGGCCCAGCAGGCCCGCAGCCGAGCTCACTACAGCAAGGCGGCCGTTGGTAGCCTCCAAGTACGGGAGGGCATGCGCAGCCACATAAATATAGCTGAGGCACAGCCAGGTGGGTGCGATGAGCGGGTCAGAGGCTGAACCAGCAGAAACGGTGGACATTTTGCGAGCCAGAAAGCGCCAGACAGACCTGTAGGTGTTGACGCCAAAGTACCATTCCAAGTGACTGCTGATGTTGTTGTCCGCCATGTCCGTGAGCCAGTTCCCCCAGTAGCCGGCAACGTGGTTCAGGATGACCGTGTCGATGCCCCCCATGTGCTCGGCGGCAGTGGCGACGAGTGCCTGAGCTCGAGCCTCTTCAGCTAGATCGCCTGCGACCACATATGGCTAAAAGGGCACGACCAGATCATCAACCAAGGCGAACGATGAGCTGTGGAGCTGTTCAAGCCAAAAGAGGCGGCTAGTTGAGCATCCGAGTGTGTAGCGCCCGAGATGACACACCGTGCCGCCAAGCTGCTGGCAGCGCTTGGCTGCGTCGTTGAGCGGGCCCGTGCGACGAGCAGCAAGAACAACCTAGATGTCCAAGGCGAGCCATCATGCGCAGCTAGCTGACCGAACATGGGATGGGTCAAAGAGAGGCTGAAAGACGGCAATTCAGACCTGGGCATGATTTCGGCAGTACAGCTGCATCAACTCAAAGCCGATGCCTTGGGAGCCCCCAGTCAGGATTACGCGCTGGCCTGCCAAGAAGCGATGAGCACACCAGACAAAAAAAAAAAAAAAAAAATCAGACAACCCGGAGCCAGTCTATGCCAGGGCAGGCGCTACCACTCGGCACAACTGACCCTGCAATTCCTCTTCTTGAAATCGTCGCCAACCATTGTTGGGAATCACCCGAGTCAGCACCACAGCCAAGACCATCAGGGCCAACGCCCAGTGCCACCCGGCCGCCATTGCGATCCGTTTTCTTCTTCTTCTTGCTTGAGTGTCAACAACTGTGAAAATGTCAGCAAAAATTTTTTTCCAATCAAATTGCGAGTCGAAATGTCAGAGCATAAGAGGCGTGCCGACTTGGGCATGGTGCCTTGGTGAGACAGTATAGGAAGGGGGGGAGGGAGGCTGGCTGATTGAAAACTGGCCAAGTAGTCAAAGAGTGAATTGTAGTGCTCTTCGGCGCAAGGTGGCTGGGGGGAAAGCATCCGCAAGCTTGAATTGACACGTGAATTGGTTTGACATGTGAATAAAATTCAGTAATTTTCGGCTTTTGAAAAAAGTCTGTTGACGATGGGGAGTTGAGGTCGAATCAAAAAGGTCAGGTAGTTCGGAAAGGATCAAGCAAAGATGCATCGACAGTGCTCGCAGCAGAGGTGATGAAACAAATGCAAGGCGAGTGGGCCGCGTGAGTAAGGTCGACCGCGGCTGGGCAGGTGTGAGGGGACGAGTCAAGCCAGGTCTCGTCTTGTCTAGCAAGCGGTGTTGAGCTGTGTGGGTCGCTTGGTTTTAACTCAGGTAGTGGGACGCAGTTTTGTGATATGTGATGGCATGACAGGGGTGGGCCTCGCGTCTGGTTATTGGGCTGGTAGCTCGGCACATCGGGAAGCAGGACAACAATTAGCATGACACCAAGAACATTCACACAGGGTGGAGATAAGTCAATCAATCAAACAATCAATCAATCACTTTGCAAGAGGTTGAGGCAGTCAGTCCTAGTCGAGAAGGGGCAAGTACGGATGGAGAAGAAGTGGAAAGTCGGATAGGGCACGGATTTGACGTGTCTTCAGCTCTCCTGCGATGGCTCGGACGTTTCGGGCACGGGCACTGGCGGTTCCGATGTCACAGCTGTATAATGGATGGGCATGGCCATCGTACCGGACACGACCATGGGGGCGCCGGCATAGGCATAATTATAAGCAGCTAAAGCACAGATGCAGTTTCAGGTGCAGATCGAAGAGAGGTGTGTCAGCTCAAGTTGCAGATCGACCCGAGCGTGGCGAGGTTTCTATCGATGGACGCACGATGTGGATAGCTTAGCAGGTATGGCGCTGAATTGATGGGACCGAGACCGGCTGAGGGGTAACCCGTAAAAGTTGGAGAGTAGTAGTTGCCAACTAGAGCAGATGCAAGCGCCACAGGTAGATAGGGTTAACTTTACCAGTATAGTATCAGGAATCATGAATCGAGGATGAGAACTGTGCAAGTGCCCGCCTTTGACGTACCCCAGTACGGCGAGGCGGCTGGGGCCGTGCCATAAAGCTGCTGTTGCTGAGCCCCTAGTTGTGCTTGACCAGCAAGGAGGTGCTGTTGTGCCAAATCGCGACTGCCAGCAGAGGCAGAGCGCGAGCTGGTGCGGCTGGATTGACTGCGAGGAACAGCCGCCTTGACCTCAACCTTTGGGAATGGACAAGGGCGCGTGAGAGGTGGCGTTTCCAGCTCGGATCGGTGAGACTTTGGATGGCCAAAGATGTGCAGCAAAGACCTCCTGGCCCACCAGCATCTGGGATGTGCAAAGCAAAAAAAAAAAATTGTGGGTTGCCAGCACTCACTCGGTTGCCATCTATTGTGTGGTATTGTTGGCGTAGCACGCTTTCGGCAGCTTCTTCTGTTTTGAAAGTGATAAAGCCGAATCCCCGTGGCCGGCCAGTGTCTCTGTCGCGTTGGCACAAGGCATCCTCGATCTAACAAGGAGTTGGAGCTGATGAGAGCTATGCAAACCACAGAGGCGTTGCGGGGGGGTGGGGGGGGGGGCATCAACGCCCAGACAGAGAGGCGCGTACTTCACCAAACTGTACAAAATAGTTTTTGATCGAGTCTTCGTTCATGCTGCTGGCCAATCCACCCAGAAAGAGCTTTTTGATGGTCGTGGAGGCCGGATCACTGCTCGAGCGTGGAATGGCTCGCTTTGGGTCAATCTGGTGGCCATAACAGAAGTGGAAGCACCGTGATAAGCAAGCCGGTGTGATAGGCGCAGTTCAGCGGCAAATGAAACCGGACAGCCGGCAAAAGACAGTCAACGCACCTCGCGATCACAGACGACATGGGGCCCAGAGCTCAGTACATCCGTCACTGACTTGGGATCCGCAAAGGTGACAAAACCGAAACCGCTGTGCATATATCATCACAAAGAAGCAACAGACGGGGGTATACGGTGTGTCAGACACCAACAAGCACACCAACTACGCTTGTGTGTGCGTGTGCTGGGTTCGTGTGATCTCCACCGCCAGGCAGAAATGACGAGGTAGCCCAAGCCAGAGGACAATAAGCAGGCTGCAGTGCCTGCCCGTGTGCCCCATGGCTTCCACTTTTGATCGTGTCATTCAGGTGAGCGATTCAAAGAGAAGATGGCTTGGTCGAGGAAGCGCGTACCGTGAACGCTGGGTCACCGAGTCGCGCATGACCACGGCATCGATGACGGTGCCATAGCGCTGAAAGTAGTCAGTCAGCGATTCTGCAGCCGCGACGACGTCACCGGCAGGCACGATTGGTGGTTGTGCGTGACCCAACGAAGGAGGGTCCGATGAGCAGATGTGGTGTGCGGTGAGTATTAGTTGGCACAAGGCAGACAGGCACAAGGCAGGCAAAAGCTGCCTTGCGGGGCTGGAGGAGTTTTCGTCGTTGTGTGCAATGCTGCATGTGGATGGGCTTGTGTCCATGAGCCAGCAACGAGCAATGGGTAAAGAGACCAACCAACCTTCATTGGTGTTCCAACTAATGCCACCAACAAAGAGTTTCCTAATGGGCATCGGCACACATTGGTCGAGGGCGTCGGTGAGCCAGTTGCGCCGGGACAAGACCAGACGACCCAGGAAGTGGGGTGGAGGCCGATCGGAGCGGTGATCAAGATCATGTGAGTTGTGAGTGTGGACAAAACGAGCTGCAAATACCAAGATACAAACAGAAGCGTTGGGACGCGATCCGGAGCAAGGCCAGTCCAGCCGAGACAGCCACAGACCATGGAGACGCACACCCAGACAGCAACGAGCCAGCTAGCCGAACGATGGCAGACCAAGGGGACGAGCACGGTCGCAGCGACGCGACACCAGAGACATCCAGAGAGCGAGAGAGAGAGAGGGGGGGAGCCTTGAGTCATCATGTTGCCTTTGTCTGCTTCCTTTGTTTGACGCTTTTTGGGATAACGTCATCTTTTGTGTGTGTGTGTGTGTGTGTGTGTGTGTGCGTGTGTTGTTGTTGTTGTTGTTGTTGTTGTTGTCTGTGTGTGTGTTTTTGGTTTTTGTTCGTCCACATTTTGTGCGATTGGCTTAAATCGCCGCCTGTTTCTGTTTGAGCGATGGCGGCGGGGACTGACCTCTCAATGTCTTCGTTGGGATTTGTGTCTTGTGTGGCTGCCGTTTGAGGCGTTGGGGTCGTTTCGGGCTCGACGGTGGCCTCAGCAGCAGCCGCTGCGTTCATGTTGGTGGTGGGTGGCGGTGGCAGAGGGGGTGTTGCTTCCTCTCCCTGAGATGATGACATGCCACTGCAAGGGTCAAGGAGGAAATAACCCCTGAACCGCTCACTGCACAATTCGTTCATCGGTGTACAGAATGCATGTTGTGTTGTGCTGTTGTGGTGACGGTGACGTGAGTGCAAAGCCCATGGTGAGCTGCGGCTTGCTGCTGCTGTGCTGGTTGGTCAGCGTTTTGCGATGAAGCGCACATTGTGTTGGAGAGCTGGCTGAACGACGCGACCACGCGACACCAGCCAGATGGGGAAACGGCATGGGATGTGGGTCTTTTGGCCCATGCCCAAGCGACAATACCTTGCACTGCTCTGGTAGGCAGGTAGGGTGAAATGTGGGACCTTTTGTCTGGGGGTTGTGCACAAGCATGGTTGTCAGATGAAACCCATCACGGCAAACGGCTGATGTGTAGAAAACGAACAACGTAGATCGTTCAACTCGCGCCCGAGCTCTTCCCCATCCGAAGGGGGCACTACTACGATCCTGGTTGCGCAGCAGCGATGAGCGATGCAGCTTTCTTGGTTGCACCGTATGCCAATTCGAAAAGCAGGCATGTGCCGTCCTCCCCTGTAGTCTTTCGGATGGACATGGCTGTTGGGTGGCACCTGCTTGGAAAGGAAGGAACTGGGTGACTTTGGAATCATCACAGCTCTTCGGATCGCAAATGTCGTCGCCCTGACGCGAGGTTCATCCTGGGATTCTCGAATAGCCGAAGCGGGCATCTGAGAAGGGCCTGCCACACAAACCATTGATCTCAACAACTAGCCCCGATGCTCTGCAAGACTTTTCAAACCATTCGTTACAGGGTCGCGTTTCGGAGCGATCAAGACCTGCTCCCAAATCCCATAGCGTTGTTTCGTCTCAACACAGGATAAACCTAACCTGCGCGGCAGGTGCCTCTTCATCAAGTAGTTCCAACTTGTCGAAATCAGTGAGCACGATGTTTGAAGCTTCACATTAGAGGGGTGTGATATCCCTTTAAATTTGACTGTGGCACTTTTTGTTGTCAAACAGAAATTTTGACCATCAAGTCGAGTTGTTCGAGCTCAACTTGTGCACGCCGCAGCACTTCCAAGCCGTTCAACCTTGTGCCAACCAGGGGACCTCCCCCCCCCGCCCCCGTCACCGCTTTCCCCAAACCAGTCCCCATGGATCACGTTTTGCAGCAGGTACTTGACGGATTTGCTCGTCAGGGCATGAGCTACGACATTAGCACCCTGCGCTTGGATTCCGATGCCTTGGCGCAAGACCTGCTCCAGCCCAAAAAGTCGAGCACCACGGCACAGACAAGCGACGTTCAAAACCATCTGGCCTGGCACAGCAGCTCTGCCGTGGCTCGCAGCGGGCCACCCGACCCCACCAAGCAGCCCCGCCCTCACCGCGGCGTGTCAACAGACATTTACCGAGGTGACAGCACCAGTCAGATCCCACATAAAAAGCCCTTGGCGCCACGCCACGAGCCTGATCTCTATCGCGGAGAGGATCCGATCACCAAGATTGCCAGCAAACCACGTCCAACCGATGCACGCACGCCCTGGACGGCCACAACCACCGACGACCTCGTACAGCAGCGCGCCAATCAGCAGCGCCGACCTCGCGAGGCCACAAGTGTCTTCGCCGCCTCGGACGCGACCAGCGTGCCTGCTGCGGCGACCAGTCGCCCCGTCAGCCGCTATCGCCCGGCTGACAACTTTCGCGTGGGCCAAGAGTTTTAGCCACTCGTGCATTACGCCCCAGTGCTAGTCCCTCACCCTGCAATTCACCACACATGGATCTTGGCTGAGCCAACCGCTTGCATGTTGTGGTGTGCCGTAAAGCCTGGGCATCCACCAGCCTTAACTATCAATTGACAATTTGCATTCTCCCCGCCGTCGCCACAAGGCAAACTAAACAGCCCGCCATGGACTTGAGCTGTTGATCACACAACTCTGAAGACTCCTGTTTAGGGTCGCACGGCAAAACGATAGGAACCGCCGGACGGGGAATAGTAAATACCGTCAATCACGTTGCCTTCCGTGCTTTTTGGAGCCACCGCTACAGGTGGCTCATACTCACGCTACTCGTGGCCCACGGCCAAAACCGTACAGTGGATGAGCCGACAGAAAGCCAGAGACAAAAGCTGGCCTGCATTTGGACTGCGCGCGCTTCACAGGCAACTTAGGGCAGATACACATACCTCTCGGCTCAAGCTGGGACGCGGCGCACCAAAATCAATGGAGGGTGGTGGTAAAGTTGGGCGGCCAGTACTGGCTGCCCCACTCATCTGATCGCGCGCCCAGGCCACCTGAATAGGCTGTCCGAGCAATCGCTACATGACAGCCAAGGCACGTAATTGATGATAGACCGACTCTAATACGCTTGCCGTGGCCCCATGCTTGCCACCCCCCCCCCCAGTAAAAGATCTCGAGTTGTGAAGGTCAGAAACAGAATCACTCACCAAGTCAGGCACGGCCAGGGCTCGCTCTGCATCACGTTGTGACACATATTTGACAAAGGCAAAGTGACGCTTGAGATGGATGCTGGCCAACTGGGTAGGTGGGAGGCATCATCCAGTCAGACCAGAAGCTGTGAGGTAAGATGGTACCCTTTGCGACAATGTGACACACGCGGGTCCCACAATTATCCAGTTGGAAGCCTACCGGGCCGAAGCGCGAGAAGAGGGCATCAAGATCTCGCTCCGTCGTGCCGGGAGGCAGTTGAGGAATGTGCAGCGTTGATGCTTGCTACGCCAGATCATCGTCGTGCATATTTTATTTCATTTTCATTGTTGTTCATACGATTGTTGTTGTTGTTGTTGTTGTTGTTGTTGTTGTTGTTGTTGTTGTTGTTGTTGTTGTTGTTGTTGTTGTTGTTGTTGGGAGAGTAACGGTGCATGGCATCGCAGAAGTGAGTCGGCAATGGGACGATAGCGTGCGAGTCGAGGAGCTCGGAAACACAGTTGCCGCAGGGCAAACTCACCATGGAGTCGGGCCCAGGGGCACCACGGCCATGCATGGGCTCGTGTGGCGGTCCATAGCCTGATCCTGGAGCGTGAGAAGGTGGCGGACCTCCTCGACCTCGTTTGTCCTCGGGTCGGGCCCAAGAACCATCAACTCGATGTGAGCCCAACAGAATCTGATGGGCTGTCATACGCCTGGTGGACATTGGTGTAGCCCGCATCACATTGAGCACCGCAAAGTTGGGAAGCATTGCAAACCAAAGGAGGTCTAGTTTTGCAAGTTGGGCGCGACGAGTAGATGGAACACTCACTCAATGGCAATCTCGGCTAGCTTGCGATTGGCAAAGTCGACAAAGGCAAAGCCACGATTATTGTGTGTGGGCGAGCGATAGGCGAGCACATTGACCACGCCATCCAATTGCTACCCCGATTGCGGTACCAGCAAAGGTACGTGGTATGTAAGCGCATGCTACCATGCCAAACTAAATGCACGGTACCCCACCTGGGGAGGGCAGAGGATATGCTTCACGCCTGGCACTCGAAGCGACACACCTGGGCGAGCATGTTGTGAATCTGTTCCTGGGTCATGGTACGTGGTACCCCGCCCACAAAAAGGCGGTTGTCATTGGACGGCGGTCCCATCCTGCTATATAAATTCCACGCTCGACCCGTCCCCTAACCGGGTGTGTACTGTGGTTGGTTTAGACAGCAAGGCTCACGGAGGTCAAGCGCGCAGCGTCTGCGTCCAGAGAAAGAAAAAAAAAGTGAACAGTTTGCTGGCGTCTGACATCTGACATCAGGTGGTTCGGCCGTTGTCAGACGATACGATGACAACACGTCAACAATGTTTTAAAGCCAAGAAAATGTCAGACTTTGTGCAAGACTCGAATGTACCTTAATATGTTGTTCAGCGGGATAGTTCGGTCACCTCCTTGAAAGTAACATATGTATTCCCTTTTTGTAACAACATATTGCTCTTGGGATTGAGGCAGGTGCGATTAATTGGCAGTCAGTATTTCGGGTCGTGCTCGGCGATTCTGTCTGCTGTGCGTTTCAAATCAAGCACAGCAGAAGCGCTAAATTTTTGCGGATCAAACGAGGGTGCTCTTGTGTTCATACGCTTCCTGTGGATGCCATAGCAGCCCAAAGACCAGAAAATCATTTATTTTGAAATAAATCCCATTTCTTTTCCATACGAAACTTATTTGGCTTTGACTCTCTAGGGCTACATGGCTCTGATTGGTATGTCAAATGGCAGCGCCATAAGACGAGTCAGCGAAGCAATGAGACAACTTGGTGGGTAGAAGCAGATGGACAAGACAAGTTCCGATTGATCAATGGTCATTCAAGGTTTATTTCGATTGACAAACGCCCGGGACGATTTTTTTTTCTAAACACTTAGTAAGCAAGCTGTTTCCTCATTGGGTGGACTTAGACGATTTTCTCTTCTTGGGATGTGGTTGCCACTGCGCCACTCGTGCAAGGTGTGTTCGACGTGGAGACCGAGTTTGGACGATTGATGGGGAAGAGCTACGGTCCACAGCGGCGCTTGAGGCTTCTCGTGTTCGCGCCTCGGTACTTGCATGTGATGTCTCTGATGCCGCCGTAGACGGCGTGGTGCACGGTGGACTTGTCACCTGAATGCAATGATGAAGACGAGGAGTACAGATGAGAGTGAAGCCAACGAAG